CCACGTTTTTTTTTTTTTTTGATTAGCATCACTAGAATGTGCAGTAGACACTTTTACTGTAGTTTCCTATTTTATACTCTATTTGAGCAAAGTTTCACTTCATAGTCTGTCATTTTTCACATTTAGTCTCTACTGTGCATGAACTTATCTACCAGATCTAACAGTTCTCTTTTTCCACTGACACACGCTGCTCATTTCCTCTTTTTATTAATCTGCATTTGCTGAATGCTTCACCCTTCACCATTTAATTGATCATAGTTTAGCTGTACTTTTTCAGAAAGTCCACAATTTGGATGAAGAAATATCTAAATACTGTATATATTGTGTTTTGACCCTAACTGGGTTCACCATACTGAAAAACAAACAAAACATCTGGTAAAAACAGCAAATCTTAAACTTTAACACTTCTTACATATTACAAAAAAATAAATGAGAACATATGATTTTAGAAAGAAGAAGTGTGGAAAAGCACTTCTGTGTGTTATCCTGAAGTTCAAACAGTAGCATGGCGCTAGCAATGGCAAGATCATGGGTTTGATTCCCAGCGTACTGAACGTACATGAACATATATGACTTCAATGCCGTGTCAATTTCTTTGGATTAAAGCGTCTGCCAAATGTACCTTTTAGAGGATAGTTGAAACACTGACATCACAAAATGCTTTTCACTTTTTACATACGCACTTTTTTTTCGGGTCTGTGCAGCTGCCTTAAATACGCGGTTTGAACTGCCCCACAAACATCAAAATCTAAATCTAAATTTTGTATGCACATTCCACAACACATCAGACTGTCCGCACTTTGCAGGCATTTTCATGGCCCTACATGACAAAAAGTCAAAATATTTCAAGAAAAACATTGGTTTCAAAGTATTACCAACAACTCAAAAACTGCAACATAATATCAGGGCTAGAAACTGGACAAATTTTATACTGGGAAATAATACTGGGATGAAAAATGCACTTTAAGGAAAGAATTACAAATTATTGTTTCCCATAAATATTCCCATTATAAAATAAATATTAAAAATTTGTAAAATATTAAAAATGTCAATGATCTTTGAGATATAGAATTAACCTGCCCTTAGTTTTGTAAGTAACAAAATGTCCAATTCAGTTAGAGATTATTAGTATAATATTCTTAATACAACTGAACCATATGATATTATTTTATATATATATATGAAAAAATCATTTACATTACATTTTTACTGACTACTGCTAAAACTACACATCAGTTTATAAGATTTTATAAGAGTCCTGTCTTTTTTCAACACTGTCACATACTAAAAAAAAATGTAATAGGCCTACTAATCAATATCAACATCAGCCTTCATTCTAAAGAGCTGCTTTGCATATTTGACTTGCTATGAACTAAGTCTCACAGTTGTGAAATTTTGTTGTGTTTTGTTTTTAATAATAATAATAATTTTAGGTAAAATGTATGTTCTTGTTTTGTTTTTGTTTTTTTATAATACTACTTTTAGGTAATTATGCACATATTTTCTGTCCCAACAATGGCGAGTAAAATGTCTGGGATGTATACGTATTTACATAATTTAAGTCATTCCTAATAGTAGCCAGCAAGACAAATAGTTACTGCATTTAATACATGTGTGGTATGCAGAATATAGTTGTTTCTTTCAACACTATTTGCTGTCAATACTTTTTTCTTATGATGGTAGCTACTAAACTAATAAAAAAGCAGAAAATCAGTTTGATCCATGTTTTCGTCTAAATTCATTCATTCAATTAAGTGAATACTAGATTTAACAATCTATCCAGCTTGTATCCGATGGTGGCAAGGAAATTAGAAGAACCGGGAGATTACACCATAAAGAACACATTTATTCCAAACTGACTCCTTGATAAAGTCATCAACAATCAGTTTCTTAAAAAAAAAAACGTGAATAAGAAAACAAAATACTCACTACACACAGAGGCAGAGAGCTCCTTGAATGGTCTCGCTGTCCCGAATGAGGTATGTTCCGTCCCGTCCTTTCTTGCCGAGCAGCTCCTCGCATCTCTGTTTGCTTATCGGCCCATGATACGCTGGATGCTCCATGTTTCACATCGCACGTGTGAGGAGCGTGCTGTCAGCTCGAGGCACTGCTGTTTGCGCACAGGATACTAATACGTCACGTCTTCTTCCGCAAGTCCACAATTAACTTAGTGGAGGAAATCTTCCTTCATGCCCACACTCAGAAATTATGATACACAGCGAGATAGTCTAAGCAGCTTTCCGTCCTACGCTATGCAAAATACTGCACACGCAAACCTACTAATGTCACAGGAAGTCGGTTTGCGTGTGTGCGTTTGCTTACTAGTAGGTTAGTGGTCAAAGGGACTGTAAACATGTAAACCATGAGATCAGGACTGAAACTCTGTATAATACTCTTAATTTTAACTAAACTGAAATTATTCGATTTTATCTTAACTATAGCACAAAAAAAAAAAAAAAGGTTTGATGCACAACCTTTTGCATAATAAACATTCGTATGACGTAGCTTTTATTTTAAATCGCAGTTTATTTACAAATCTTCTTATTCAGTAAAAGGCATTTAAAGCCTTCTGTGGTGAACGAATCTGTGTTTTGAACGAATCTTTTAAGTGAACGAATCGTGCTTGTTCACTGAAGCATGTGACTGCTTTGGCTATAATTGTTTTTCTCTTAATCTTTTTTTTTTCTGTACCTTGATAAATTCCAGTTCAAGTTGAAGGATGAGTGAGAAGGGGGAAAAGATAGATTTGCTGAAAATGATGAAAACGCTATTAGGAAGCACACTTTGGAGCACCTTTTCTGTTAAAAATAACAGTGGTTTGATGATTTAATAAATATTTTATCAGGAGCGTTTATGCTGGGATGTTCCGACACGGAACTTACTATCTCATATAAATTTCATGGATGTACTGAAAAAAATCTATATCAACTACTTTCTTGCGGGTGGGAGCGGGACAAGATAACATACAAACCCGATTCCAAAAAAGTTGGGACACTGGACAAATTGTGAATAAAAACTGAATGCAATGATGTGGAAGTTTCAAATTTCATTCAGAATACAACATAGATGACATATCAAATGTTTAAACTGAGAAAATTTATAATTTTAAGGGGAAAATAAGTTGATTTTAAATTTCATGGCATCAACACATCTCAAAAAAGTTGGGACAAGGCCATGTTTACCACTGTGTGGCATCCCCTCTTCTTTTTATAACAGTCTGCAAACGTCTGGGGACTGAGGAGACAAGTTGCTCAAGTTTAGGAATAGGAATGTTGTCCCATTCTTGTCTAATACAGGCTTCTAGTTGCTCAACTGTCTTAGGTCTTCTTTATCGCATCTTCCTCTTTATGATGCGCCAAATGTTTTCTATGGGTGAAAGATCTGGACTGCAGGCTGGCCATTTCAGTACCCGGATCCTTCTTCTACGCAGCCATGATGTTGTAATTGATGCAGTATGTGGTCTGGCATTGTCATGTTGGAAAATGCAAGGTCTTCCCTGAAAGAGACGCCGTCTGGATGGGAGCATATGTTGTTCTAGAACTTGGATATACCTTTCAGCATTGATGGTGCCTTTCCAGATGTGTAAGCTGCCCATGCCACACGCACTCATGCAACCCCATACCATCAGAGATGCAGGCTTCTGCACTGAGCGCTGATAACAACTTGGGTTGTCCTTGTCCTCTTTAGTCCGGATGAAATGGCGTCCCAGTTTTGCAAAAAGAACTTCACATTTTGATTCGTCTGACCACAGAACAGGTTTCCACAGTCCATTTTAAATGAGCCTTGGCCCAGAGAAAACGCCTGCGCTTCTGGATCATGTTTAGATATGGCTTCTTTTTTGACCTATAGAGTTTTAGCCGGCAACGGCGAATGGCACGGTGGATTGTGTTCACCGACAATGTTTTCTGGAAGTATTCCTGAGCCCATGTTGTGATTTCCATTACAGTAGCATTCCTGTATGTGATGCAGTGCCGTCTAAGGGCCTGAAGATCACTGGCATCCAGTATGGTTTTCCGGCCTTGACCCTTACGCACAGAGATTGTTCCAGATTCTCTGAATCTTTGGATGATATTATGCACTGTGGATGATGATAACTTCAAACTCTTTGCAATTTTTCTCTGAGAAACTCCTTTCTGATATTGCTCCACTATTTTTCGACGCAGCATTGGGGGAATTGGTGATCCTCTGCCCATCTTGACTTCTGAGAAACACTGCCACTCTGAAAGGCTCTTTTTATACCCAATCATGTTGCCAATTGACCTAATAAGTTGCAAATTGGTCCTCCAGCTGTTCCTTATATGTACATTTAACTTTTCCGGCCTCTTTATTTAATGAGATTCTGTTTTTATAACATATGCCTATGATATAGGAGCTATAACCTATCACACAAACAAGAGTTCTGTTTTTCTGAATATCTGCACGAACAGAAATGTACAATAATAAAATACAATTGTGTTACTCAATGATGTTCTAGTTGAGGGCATTTGTAGTTTATAGGTATAGGGCTCAAACATAACCTCATGCCCAGGGGCCCCCGTCCCCCTAAGTCCTGCCCTGAGTGCTGCAAATTCTGAAATTATCCACAGATCACACTCATTGGTGTGGTCAATAAGTGAATGTCTTTAAACATGACAACATCCACTTGCAGTACTGAAGGTGAAGTGTCCCATCTGCTACTTGTCAAATGGAGAGGGAGAGGGCGGGGATAATCAGCACTGACCGAGTCATTTAAACTCCAGCAGGGAAGCAGGGAGGAGGATAAGTGTCATTTCCGTTTAAGAAGATTAAGAAGAGCTTGCTCTCCATCTGCAGTCTGCCTCACACATCCAGTGATGTTATAATGACTAAATAATTTTTATCTTGATTCAAATCGCGCGCTGATGACCCGATTGACTGTAATGATTTCGCTGGGGATAACGAGCAATGCTGGATTGGTTTGGCCTGGATCTGTGTTGAATTGGCATTGTGAATGTTAGAGTTGAAACGCTTTACTAGAGGAAATGAAGACGCGACCCACAGGAAACACCTCTAACGCCGACTGGATGGGCTCCCTGTGCCCTGCCCTCACATCCATGCCCCTCAAGCACCTGGCGGTTCCCGGTGAGAGAATGTCTTTTCCCTTTGAACATTTAACTGAAATTAAATAAAATACTAAAGTGTAGGTAAAAGTAAAACGAGGTATTATTTTCCATTTGTAGCTATTTAATTCGAAAGCTATATGATTTGTTACATTGACAGCACAGAGGATAATGTATAAACAGTGACTTGTACTATGTGTTAATACAGGCATTTTCTTAACACATAAAAACAACAATTTTTTTAGTTTTAATATCATTTTAATTTTCTTTCCCTTTTAATAATCTTTTTTTGCCTGTCCCTAGCCCTATTTCCATTTTCTTGCTGTATTAACAACATTTATATTAATATTTCGATAATTTATTATTATTATTATTATTGTTGTTAGTAGTAGTAGAAGTAGTATTTAGTAATTATTACATTAATTGTTCGTTTTAATTAAATATAATTACATAAATATAAAATTTTGTATATAATTATAAATATATATATTAAAAATGTATATAAGAATATATAAATGTGTGTATATATATATATATATATATATATATATACTTTATATATTAGATATATTTATATATATTTTATATATTTCAATACATTATATATATTTTTCTGTTGTTATTACAGAAAAATTACTTTATATATTTATAAATGTTATATTAATAACATAATATATTAAATACACGTTTTATTAATATTAATATATTTATATAATATATTCATTTTATTTTTAGACTTAAAATCCATACTTATTAAAATAACGTAAAATGTAATGTAAAAAAAACAAACAAATAACATGATGTCATCATAACATCATAATCCTTTCAGGATGTTAATTAAATATTTTTGGATTGGAACAGATAGAAAATTGACAGGCTTGTGCTGCAGTTCTTGTCCTGCCCGCTACGTCTTCGAGCCAGTCACGTGACCGAAAACTAGGAATAATAACCCTGGTTGTGTCTGAATTAGTGCTGATGACTCTTTGTGTGTCTGTGGTGTGTTGCACCAGAGGTCAGCTATTCCTGCTGGGTACTGACCCTAATCACCATAGGATTAATGTCTCACCTCCACTCTGACAGGTGTACAAATGGCAAAAACTGGACACCAACATTCCAGCTGAGCACTCTATTTGTGAACACCTTCAGTTTAACAGATTCTCATGTCTTTGTGGACATAACTGATTGACATGCGAATCAACATGGTGTTCTGCTTGTGTTGAGAAGTGCTTTTCTTGGGTGTTGTGGATGGTTACTATGTGGTTGCTAAGATGTTTGAATGGTTTTACCACATAGTACCACATGGTTTCTAAGGTATTTTGTTACTATATGCTTACTTGCTAGAACCCAACATCTATCAACCAAGTCTAATTCTGGTACCTTGATAAGGCTCAAGTGATAACCATATTTTTTTGGTCCATTTTTATCATCTAAGAGCAATAGAACAGATGATGACAGAATTTTCAGTTACATTTTATTTTGATGGTTCACTTTAGGAATTCTTTTGATTAACTAACTTCACAACGACATGTCAACTAATTCTCATCAGAGCATTAGTAAAGTATTAGTAGATGGCAAAGTCACTTATAGTCAACAGTATCTCTAAAGGGGACCATCAAAATAAAGTGTTACAGAATTTTCATTTTTGGGTGGACTATCCCTTTAATAATTTGGATAATTCAAGTTATTATTCATGACTGTATGAGACGTGCACCGAAGTTAAATTTTTCAATACGCTTTGTTCTTTAACCTTAAAATATGAGCTATAGCAAGTATTTTGGAAGCACCATTAATAATATTATTATTATTAGTGCCCATCATGTCATTTTAGAATAATGGCTCGTTCAGTCTCTGGCATTTGTGTTTGATTTCACAGGTCCTAGTGTTCTACCACCATCCATCTGCTGAGAGCTGTCCTGTGATGTGGCCTGGTTGTAAAATTCCCGCCCCCTGGGCCAATACCACAGACGCCTCCAAGCTCATCCAGTTCCTGGAGACGACTCTGGGTGAACGAGCCAAATACGGCAGCTTTCATGTGTCTCAAGCCATTTTAACCCCACGTGTCAAGACCATCGCCAGGGGCCTGGTACGGGGGCTAAGAAACTACCTGGTGGAGAAGTGAGTATTTAAGTCAGGGGTGCCCAAACTCTGTCCTGGAGGGCCGGTGTCCTGCAGAATTTAGCTCCAACTTGCCTCAACACACCTGCCTTTAAGTTTCTAGTATGCCTAGTAAGAGCTTGATTAGCTGGTTCAGGTGTGTTTAATTGGGGTTGGAGCTAAACTCTTCAGGACACCGGCCCTCCAGGACCGAGTATGGACACCCCTGATTTAAGTGGAGGAATTGTTTTATTTGTTGTTGTTTTGGTTTTTGTATCTCTCTCTCTCTCTCTCTCTCTCTCTCTCTCTCTCTCTCTCTCTCTCTCTCTATATATATATATATATATATATATATATACACACATAAATTCTAGGGCTGTCAAATCGATTAATCGCATCCAAAATAAAAGTTTGTGTTTACATAATATAAGGGTCATGATATTTGAAGCTGGATAAATAAGCTTTCCATTGATGTATGGTTTGTTAGGATAGGACAATATCTGGCCGAGATACAACTATTTGAAAATGTGAGGAATGTGAGGGTGCAAAAAATCTAAATATTGAGAAAGAGGTCAGCTATTCCTGCTGGGTACTGACCCTAATCACCATAGGATTAATGGCAAAAACTGGACACCAACTTTCCAGCTGAGCACTCTATTTGTGAACACCTTCAGTTCAACAGATTCTCATGTCTTTGTGGACATAACTGATTGACATGCGAATCAACATGGTGTTCTGCTTGTGTTGAGAAGTGCTTTTCTTGGGTGTTGTGGATGGTTACTATGTGGTTGCTAAGATGTTTGAATGGTTTTACCACATTGTACCACATGGTTTCTAAGGTATTTTGTTACTATATGCTTACTTGCTAGAACCCAACATCTATCAACCAAGTCTAATTCTAGGGCTGTCAAATCGATTAATCGCATCCAAAATAAAAGTTTGTGTTTACATAATATAAGGGTCATGATATTTGAAGCTGGATAAATAAGCTTTCCATTGATGTATGGTTTGTTAGGATAGGACAATATCTGGCCGAGATACAACTATTTGAAAATGTGAGGAATGTGAGGGTGCAAAAAATCTAAATATTGAGAAAATCGCCTTTAAAGTTGTCCAAATGAAGTCCTTAGCAACGCATATCCATTTTTTATATATTTACGGTAGGAAATTTACTAAATATATCCTCATGGAACATGATCTTTACTTAATATTCTAATGAGTTTTGGCATAAAAGAAAAATCGACAATTTTGACCCATACAATGTATTGTTGGCTATTGCTACAAATATACCCCAGCGACTCAAGACTGCTTTTGTGGTCCAGGGTCACATATGTGTGTGTACTGTGTTTAATTATATGTATACATAAATACACATACATACTGTACATGTATATATTTAAGAAATGTATGTATTATATATTTCTATTTATATATAATATAAATAATATATAAATACGAAAATATATATATATATATAAATATATATAAATATATATATATATATATATATATATATATATATATATATACACA